TAAATAGTTTGAGGATGAAGTTTGATGTTGTAAATAGTTGGAGGATCAATTAAGAAGCTCCTAATAGTTGGAGGATGAATCAAGAATTTCCTAATTTCTAAAGGATCAAATTAGAATTTCCTGATAGTTTGAGGATCAGTTTTGTAGTTCGTAATAGTTTGAGGATCAATTCAAAAAAATTAATTGCTGAAGGGTAAAAGTAGAATTTTCTAATAGTTGGAAGATCAGTTATATAGTTCCTGATAATTGGAGGATTATTACAGATGTTTCAAATAGTTGGAGGATGAAGTGGAATGTGCAAAATAATTTGAGGGTCAACTTAGACATTTCACATACTTTTAAAATCAACTTAGATGTTTCTTGTAGTTGGAGGATACACTTAAATGCTCTAAATCGTTGGAGGATGACTTAAGAACTTCCTAATTGTTGAAGTGTCATATTTGAATGTTCAAATAGGTGGAGTGTCATTGAAGAAGTCACTAACAGTCGAAGGAAGAATTAAGAGTTTCCTAATTGATGGAGGGTCAAATTAGTATTCACCAGTAGTTGGAGGATTAAATTTACGGATCCTAATAGTTGGAGGATCATTTATGAATTTCCTAATTGCTGAAGGGTTAGATTTAAATGTTCTAACAGATGTAGGATCATTAAGACATTCCTGTTAGTTGGAGGATTACTATAGACATTTCAAGTACTTGGAGGATTCAATTTAAACTTAATAAAAGTAAATTCAAACATAAAAAGCATAAATCGTAAAAAATACTCTTTTATTTATTATTATTATTATTATTATTATTATTATTTTCTTTGTCTTAGGAGTAGAGTCTTTTCCATTATCAGCTCTATATTGTATTAGTTATTTTCGAGTTATAAGTCAATTGTAATAAAGTGTCTTAAGTACTTTTTGTTTTCTATTGTATGATATTTTGGACGAAGAAATAAAATAGAAGTTCTAGCATTTTGCTTACATTATAAGGAAGAGATTTTGGAGTACCGGGTTTATTTCTTATTTTGGATTGATATCAAGTATCTGCTTTCCCAGCAATTATGCTAAAACCTTTAAGTATTAAATTTAATTGTTGCTTTTTTATATTAATCAAGAACTACTATTCTGTAGTTCGAACTTTAATTTCGTAGAAAAAAAGAGAGTATTTTTTTACTTTTTTAAAATTAATATATTTTATGTTTCAATTTACTTTTAGTAACTTTAATTAAGTTTTCTAAGCATTAAACTTTACTTAGAATTTCATAATTGTTGGAGGATCAAATTAGAATATTCTATTAGTTGGAGGATCAATTAAGAAGTTACGAAAGGTTAGAGGGTGACATACAAATTTCCTAATTGATGAAGGGTCTAATATTCTAATAGTTTGAGGATAATTTTTGTAGTTCCTATTAGTTGGAGGATGACTGAAGTATTTCCTAATTGATGAAGGGTCAAATTTCAGTTTTTAAATAGTTTCAGGCTCATTTTTTAGTTCCTAATAGAGGGAGGATGACTGAAGTATTTCCCAATGATGAAGGGTTAAATTTGAGTTTTCAAATAGTTTGAGGTTCATTTATATTTCCTAACAGTTGGAGGATGACTTGATAATTTCTAATTGTTGAAGGGTCAAATTTGAATTTTGAAATAGTTGGGGATCAATTTGTAATTCTCAATAGTTGGAGGATGTTTTAAGAATTTCCTATTTGATGAAGGGACAAATTTGATTTTAATAGTTTGAGGATTGCGTCTGCATTTATTAATAATTGGAGGATCAAATAAGAAGTTAGGTAAAGTTAGAGAATGGCTCATGAATTTCCTATTGGGATCAGTTGAGAATTTCCTAATTTTTGAAGGTCAAATTTGAATTTTCTAATTGTTTGAAGATCAACTTTGTATTTCGTAATAGTTGGAGGAGCAGTTAAGAAGTTGAGATAAGTTAGAGGATGACTTATGAATTTCCTAATTGATCAAGGGTCAAGTTTGAATTTTCTAATAGTTTTTGTGCCAATTAAGAAGTTACGAATAGCTAGAGGATGACTTAAGAATTTCCTAATTGATGAAGATTCAAATTTGAATTTTCATATAGTTTGAGGATCAATTAAGAAGTTACGTGAAGTTGGATGATGACAATTGACACGAATTTCATAATTGTTGAAGAGTCAAACTTGAATTTTCTAATAGTTGGAGGATCGGTTAAGAATTTTTTAATGAATAATGTTACTTGCAATCCCTCACTGCAGCAGTCGCCCTATGTGGCACACACATGTCAAGTGTGTATTTGATGCATTAAATGTGGTCAAAAACTACCACATTAATGTATCAAATAACTACATGCCATGTGTGTCACATAAGGCGACTGCTGCAGTGAGCGATTGCAAGTAGAATTACTCTTTTTTAATTGATGAAAGGTCAAATTTGAAAATTTAAATAGTTTGAGGATTATGTTTTTGTTCTTATAGTTGGAGGATGACTTAAGAATTTCCTAAAATCTGATTTTTTAATAGTTTGAGGATCGATTTTGTAGTTTCAAATAGTTGGAGGATTAATTAAAAAGTTACTAAAAGTTGGAGGATAACTTACTAATTTCCTAATTGACGAAGAGTCAAATTTGTGTTTTCTTTAAAAACTCAAGAAATGAAGGACTTAAATGTTTCAATAATCACCTAACTTATACAATGGTTACGGCTTACTCACGAAGCCCTTGTTCGAGACCCATTTTGAAGAAAAAAATATATTTTAGAATATTGATTTTTGTCTATAGAACGTGTGGTTAAAAATTGAGATAGTTTTTGAATTTGTGTAATTTTTTTATTATTGAAAAACATGTTGAAAATGAGTTTTTGAATAAATGAAAGTCAAACAAGGGCTAAATTTCAAACTACTAAATTTTTTCAGTTTGCACTGTACTCCATCCATCACCCTAAAAAATTCGTTACCTTATTTGCGACATAGCTAACTAAAGACCCACGTGACAAGTTATGACTGTAAAAAAAAAAAATTACAATTCAACCAAATTTTACTTATCAAACTTTAAAAATGCTTCCTAGTGGTCATTTATTTTTGAGATGTTGCACTCTATTCATCACCTACCATATTTCGTTTCTTTCGTTGCTAATGTGTCATATAGAATTCTCACGTAGCAAGTTACGATCATTAAAAAAATTACAACTTAACCAAATATCAACTTACTAAATAATCATATGTGAAACACGACATCCATGGCCCCATAAACTTCTTTATGCCCCAACAAAGTGTCCCCAATTTGAGCCTTAAAAATCCACACTCTCCCAATTTACGCATCTCACCCACGAAAAACTAAACTATGTAATAAGACATAGGCTCTGTCTGTTTGTGCTACTAATAAGAATTTTGGCCGTTGAAAACACTGTGCAGCCGTAACATTGGATTGAACTCTCTCTTAGTGGGACCCAAAAGGTTGAAAAAAGGGGCAAAAAAGCGATTTTTTGGGGGAAAAAATCGGAACCAGACAGGTTCATAATTGATTGTTGAGAAAGATACGAGAAGTTATTACTTATAAAGCCTTATCCCCAATTGTGACATTTGCTAGACTTTTTCTAATTTCAATCTCCTATTTTTGTAGGTGCATGTCCAACTATTTGAGAAAGGAAACATATACAACCGAAAAAATTTAGTAAGCACAGTGAAATACTTCAAAAGTTAGTAAATTGTGATCATGATATAAGTTGGATGATAATTGAAACATTAAACTTAGAAATAAAGTATCAATTAAAAATTAGGGAAAATTGCCGTTGCGAGCCCAAACTTTTCAAATTATTGTAAATTGTGCCCAAACCTCTTATTTTTGCAATTGTGGTTCCAAACCTTCCATCTCCATTGCAACTGGGGGATATGTGGATGGAACTCATACATTTGACCGTTAGTTGACCAAAGGTCAACTGTTTGACCAAACAATTTTTTATTTTATTATTTTTATTTCATTATTTTATATGGGATATTTTAGTTAGATCATTGACTTTTGGCCAACTACGGAGACATGGACAAATTCCATCCACATCTCCTCTAGCTGCACCCACGATGACAGGTTTGGGATCTCAATTGAAAAAATAAAAGAATTGGGTTTAGTCTACAATAATTTAAAAGGTTTGGGACCCCAGCTTCAATTTTCCCTAAAAATTATATTGAAAGTCAACCGGAATGTTCCGCACCTCAGATCTTTCTTTTCCATTACGTGTAAACATCCTAGAACTCTTCACTCTCTCGATTTTCCCCTTAGCTTTTCCTTCATCAAAATTCTCCCCCTTTTCTCAGAATTTTCAAAATATATTGTTCGTTATAGAAATTTTCTTCAGCACATACAACTGAAGTATCACACCCTCCGATCTCCAGATTATATATGTAGTTATATTCTGGGATTTTGGGGTTTTGTTTGAAGTGAAATGAATATTACATTTTATGATCAAGATCACGGAGAAAGCGCCTGTTGATGAAAACGCATGGTCCCTTGATCGACTGAAATTATACAGGCCAATTTGCACTTTTTGGAAATTCTGAGAGTTCCATAGTAATTGAAGCTCCGTATGTATTTATTAATGCATTTTTATTCATAGTAAACTAATGTCGACGATTTGCTTTGATTTGATTTTCTGGTGACATATTGCGTGTATGATTGAATGATTTTTCTAGAATAATGAGTTTATTGGTTTCCAATTTTTCTCTTGTTTTTGTGTTTTTTTTTTCTCTCGTTTATTTTTGCTATTACATGTTGTGGCACCTTCAAAATGATTATTAATTTTAAGGGACTCCTGATTAAGCATTTATTACCCGATTCTTGGATGATATAATCTGTTGATACTGGCACAAATTTTTGATCCGGGAGTTTGACTTGAGAGTTATTTCTACTCTTGCATTCTAAAATTTCTATGGCTTTTGGTTGCTCCTGTGCTGATGGCTGTTCACTCACCCCGTGAATTCGGCTGGTTCAACAACTCAAGGGTTACTTCCGCCAGCAGGTTTTGGCGTTTATGAGTCATCAATGGCTGGATCTTCTGGCACTTATTTCCAACCAGAATCAGAGTCAGATGACAATGGTGAAATGGAATTGTACTCTGTATCTTGGAATCAGGATTACGGTTGCTTTGCTGCAGGCACTAGTTGTGGTTTTCGTATATATAATTGTGATCCTTTCAAGGAAACCTTCAGGCGTGATCTGAAAAGTGGAGGATTTAAGATAGTGGAGATGCTGTTTAGGTGCAATATTTTAGCACTTGTTGGCAGTAACATTAATGCCCAATACCCTCCAAATAAAGTAATTATATGGGATGATCATCAGAGCCGGTGTATTGGTGAATTCTCATTTAGGTCCGAGGTTCATTCTGTTAAACTAAGACAGGATTGTGTTGTTGTTGTTCTCGAGCACAAGATATATGTTTATAATTTCATGGATCTGAAGCTTCTTCATCAAATAGAGACTTTGGCGAATCCCAGGGGACTTTGTTACGTCTCGCACCACCTGAATACATTTGTGTTGGCATGCCCAGGCCTTCGACGAGGACAAGTCTGGGTCGGACATTTTGGCCTGAATATGACAAAATTAATCAATGCTCATGATTCTCAAATTGCTTGCATGACCTTGACAATTGATGGGCTTCTTCTGGCTACTGCCAGCATCAGAGGAACTTTAATAAGAATTTTTAACACAATGGATGGAACTCAATTACAAGAGGTACGATGCTTGAATACTTTCCTTGAACAGGTGCTTTTTTCAGGTAAATGATGTACCGGGCACAAGACAGTAAAATAATGGCAATTTTTCTAAAATAGTCCTCTTTTAATGGCCAAATTGATAAATGTTACCTTCTAATATGTTTTTACGCTTAAAAGATAATCTTTTTATCGGTCAAATGTCCAATTTAAGCTTACTAGCTTGACCACTGAGTCGAGTTGGTCGATATGTTTACTCTTTTCTATTTTGCGTAGATACAAGTTCAGAATTCTCGACCAACTCTAACTTAAATGCAATGGGTTGCACCATCTCTAGATATATGTGAGAACTTAATGAGTGTTTATGAATTTTTGTGTGAGAGAGAAAGAAGCAGATTAGGAATTAGTTAGAGAAAGCTAATAAAAATGATAAGGGTCGAAAGAGAGATTGTTTTGTGAAGAGCAAGAATTCGTTGTAGAGAGAGATAGACAGACAACAATAGGGTGATGCTGCCGTGTTTTTTGCATGGTGTGTGTCAGAGAGAGAGAGAGACTTTTAACTAAAGAGAAAATTACCAGAAGTCGAAGAGAGGTATATTGAAGGATCAAATCTCCAATGTCAAAAAATAAGGGCATTTTGGAATTATCACGTTTAAATAAAGGATGAAAATTTCTGATTTTTTTGGAAATAAGTCCTATTTAATTTTCTTTATCTCAGTTCTAGATTATTTACTCTATAATAATTAAACGGGAAGGAATAAGCTTAGAGCAACAGACTTATTCATGTTCTCATTGCTTTCAGTTTTTTAAATAATTTATTATTACACAACCAACTGTCGTCATGTTGGAAGATTTTCTGTCACCTTTTTTGGACAAGTTGCAGAGAAAATATTTTCACAATCACACTCCTTTGATTGCGGGTTTGTTTTCTCACGTGAGAACATTGACGTTGAAATAGCTAGGTAGATAAGATTTGTTGTCATCTCTAATCTACAAATCGTTACTGACTTGCATGATTTCATTAAGAAATGCAGTTTGGCTATCTGTGGTTGCATTAAGCACAGTTTCTCTTACTAGTTCTTTGTTATCTTAACCAGGTTTAGATTTAATCTGTATTTGGATGACAGTCATTGTCACGACCACCTCAATGAAGCTCGTTAATTTTGATTACAATTGCTTGCTACAGGTACGCAGAGGGGTGGACAAAGCTGGCATATATAGTATTGCTCTATCTCCAAACATTCAGTGGTTGGCTGTGTCAAGTGACAAAGGTACTGTCCACATATTCAGTCTCAGAGTACGGGTGGTTGGAGAGGATCGTTCAACTGATTCCGCTGTCGTTAGAGGTCCAGCATTATTTCACCAGAATTCTTCAAACTCTCTTGATGCTCTCATTTCCTCAAGCACCAGTTCTAACCCCAGCTCATCGTTGTCTTTTATGAAAGGTAGGACATACATTTGATTATATGATTTATGAGTTAATTGTTTCAATGGTCACTGAATTTATGTCTTTGCCTTCGATTGCTCACTGAGATTTAAGATGTCGAGTTTTGGCCACTAAATTTTGAAAAACGTTGGATGTTGCTCGTTGGTTAACTTCCGTTTCAAATATCTAACGGAATTGATGACGTGGTTGATGGAATGCACATTTGGCGGCCCGTTATGTCATTAAACTTTGAGATGGTCAAATTTTGGCCACTAAATTTTGGAAAACGTCTTCAATTGCTCATTAAACTTGAAAAATGTCTTCTAATACTCACTGAACTTTGAGATGGTTGAAATTTGGCTACTGAATTTTAAGATAGTTGAATTTTAGCCCCTAAACTTTGAGATGGTCGAGTTTTTGCCACAAACTTTGAAAAAGGTCTTCTATGACTCACAATAAATTTGGATTTAATTAAAATTCATTGTTAAAATTTGATTTAATTTTATTTAACAACAAATTCATTGTGTTTTTCATTCTAAAATTCAAATATTATGATGAAAATATTTTAAAATTCTACAAAAATAAATTAAAATTAAATTAAATTTAACTACCGTGTAATTGAATAATCATTCCTAGTGGTATAGACAATGCTTGCAAAGTTGTGCAAAGAAAGTGACTACTAATTGCAATGGAACACATAATGTATTTATTGTTAAAATTAAATTAAATCCGAATTTTGACAATGAATTTTAGCCCCTGTTTGATGGCCATTATTTTTAAAAAAGGAGTTTAATTTTTTTTTTTTTTTGAGAATGTGTGGTTAAAATATTGGAAAAAGTTTGAGTTTACGTGTAAAATATTTTATTGTATAAATGTGTAGTTAAAAATAAGTATAAGGACTAAAGAGTTTTATTTTAAAGATTGATAAAAAGAGGCTTAATTAAATCCAAATTGAGCAATAGAAGATGTTTTTCAAAATTTAGTGGCCAAAGTTCGACTATCTCAAAGTTCAGTGGCCAATGTTCGACCACTTTAAAGTTCAGTGAGCAATATAAGACATTTTTCAAAATTTAATTGCCAAAATTCGATCATCTCAAAGTTTAATGGCGTGATGGGGCGCCACATGTGCATTCCGTCAGCCACGTCACCAATTCCATTAGAGGTTTGAGACAGAAGTTATTACGTGAGTAACGTACAACATTTTCCATAGTTCAGTGGTCAAAACTCGCCATTTTAAACTTTAATGAGCAATCAAAGATATAAACATAAGTTCAGTGATCATTGGAACATTTAACTCTATGATTTATTTTTCTATAAAGAACTGCTTGCACAGAGTGGCTTGAAGATTATTGGTGGTAGCTTGATCTGAAATGACAATGGAAGAGAAATCCACTCTCTCCTTTTCATGTTGATGGGATCCTTTTACTTGGATCTGTTTTTTATGCAAGGCTAAAAAGCTTTTCATTTTTCCTCTGGTGCTTAGTGAAGTGATTTTGTATCAACACTGAAAAGAAAAATTTAGCTTCGAGCTTTTGTTTCTTGTCCACACTTCCACTGTGTCCTGTGTGACTTTCCCATCAATCTAACATCACAAAACCATGTTGAACTGCTTGATTTATAATCTTATTCTGTTGGAGTGGTTACAGTTTTATGCAGTATTCAACACGCTCCTCTTGCAGGCTGGATTCATTTTTCTTTTTTGTTGAAGATCTGACGTGCACAATATTTATAAATGGGTGGTGATAAAACTTGAATGGTTGACCTCTGCCTACTCTGACAACATGCTGAACCACTTCATCTCCATCAAATTCAAGTCTTATTATGAAGTCAACAACACAAACTCATCACCACTCGATTCCATCCTCAAGACCAACGGATTCTCAAAATCATAGGCAGAAAATCATAAAACTTAAAATAAAAACCTACCAAAATTGGTAATATCACCATTTCTCTATGCTGCTGCTGAAAAGGACCTCTAACCCAATATTCAAAAACTGAAACTCCAGGACCTCAAATTTCGTAAATTAGATCTGGTGGATACCTTGCTTGGATCTCTTGAACTATAGGATCTAATTTTTGATATGGCATTGAGAAACGCCAATTGTAGTAGTGTGTAATGGGTTTCAAGATTTTGCTAGTAGGGTCCGTGAAGGAGGCAGGTTCAATAACATGGTTTATTGGAAAGAGAGGATGAGAAGGTGGTGGCAAAGGACCCAAGGGGATGGGTGTTGGTGCTTGGGTAAGTGGCGATTTTTTATGAACATCTCGATTATGGAATTATATAGATTCCTCTTGGATGGATGGAACTTGAACCTTCCACGTATACAACTTAATTATTGTTTTTAACTAGTATCAGTGTGCTCATATGGTTTATCTCGAGACATGGTTTCTATTAAGTCAAAATTCTGCTTTTTGATATTACTTATTTTGAGGTGGGCTCCTTGTCTGACACCAGAAAGGTTGGTTATTCTCTCATTTTTGGAAACTTCTCCAGGGGTTTTACCTAAATATTTCAGCTCAGAATGGTCATTTGCTCAGTTTCACTTACCAGAATGTATTCAGTTCATCACAGCCTTTGGTTCTCAGAACACCCTCATGATCACAGGCTTGGATGGAAGGTACACATATTGCTTTTGGGTGTTTATTTGTATATATTTCCACACATGCACACATTGGTATCTCTGGGTGCTCCACAATTTTAAATACGTTAAAAACAGCTTTGGCTGAATTTTTGACAATTTATCAACAGCCTATGTATGTCACTTCAGAAGTTCTTGAAATCCTGCTAATCTTTTGATTCTTTTCCTGTTCGCCCCGTTGTCAGTTTTTACAGGTGCTGTTTTGATCCAGTGAATGGAGGGATGATGGTGCAGCAGGAATACATCCGGTTTCTGAAAACTGAAACCAGACCAAGATAGGGTTATCTACATATTGCATGAGATACATGCCCTCCTCTCCTTTGTAAATACGCCAAGGGTTGTATGTCATATAGCTAATTTATTATGTAATATGTTTAGTTGTTGTGGCTATAGACTCTGAAGTCTGAACACGCTCAATGAAACTCTAGACCTAGAGCATAACAAGAGGCTGTAAATACTAGCTTTAATTGGAAACACTGTTAATAAAAATATAGAGATTTCTTTAAGTCTATATACTCTTATTCCTTCATTTATCTTCTTTTCAAAATGGATGGCCAGACCGCAAACCGAGTAGCCTGGCATGTAAAATGAAGCGTCGCCCTGCATATTGCTTCAAGTTTGGATGTGATTTGATTTTGAGTAGATTTTGGTATAGTTTCTAAACTTATTTGTCTTGGCACTCAAACAATAAAAATGTTCTTGAGAGAATTTTCTTAAAGCGTATCTCAACTCATAAGCAGGGCGTAAGTAATTTTTTTTCTCGCAATTTCACCATCTCCTTTTATGAGGATCATGATGAACACAGTTGACATGTTTCACAAATGTTAGGAATAGTTGGAAATACATAGTCTAGTTGGTTAATGTGTGCACATATTATATTTTATCAAAAAGAGCCTATATACATGTACTCCTTATAGGATAGCCTTTTGATTGCATTCTCACCAAACTTCTATGGTATCATAAGGATTTTACGTAAGGTCGATTCAATGCAAATTCTTGTACAAATTGAAGTATTTTACCGTGAAGTGAGGTCTTCGAATAGTAATTGAGTTTGGTTGAAGCTAATAGAAATTAAACTTCTTGTAGCCTTCAGCTAAAAATGGTATATCAAGTTAAGTTGGATGTAATAAGTAAAATGTTAAGAAATTTGCAAATATATCTCTATATGTATACATGCACCTCTCTCCTGTGCTCTGGGAGGCGATGGCGAGCAGTGTCGATGAAGCGGCGCCGTGGTGGCTAAGATGGGTTTGTTAATAACAAGAAGAAGCTGCAAAGGAGTAATACTCAATAGATTAGTCTTGGTTTGGCATCCTTCTTTGTCATCAAGTATTTTAAAACAGCGTGATCGGTGTAGACTATGACCTTTGATCGAACAAGATATGATCGAAATTTATCAAAGGCATAGACCATAGTTAGAAGCTCTTTCTCAGTGGTGGCATAGTTGATTTGTGTGTCGTTCAAGGTTTTGCATGATCAAATGGAATATTTTGTTCTTACGTTGTCCCAATACAGCCCCCACGGCATAACACTTGCATCATACATTAATTCGAATGACAAACTCTAATCTGGTGCAATGATCACTGGTGCTGAGGTCGGCTTCTCTTTTAAAGTGTTAAAAGCCAATAAATACTCTGCAGAGAAGTCAAAAGTGACGTCATTAGCTAACAATTCACACAAAGGCTTCGTGATATTTGAAAAATCCTTAAAGAAGCGTTGATAAAACCCAGTATTCCCAAGGAAACTGCGAACTCCCTTAAATGATGTAGGTGTCAGTAATTTCTTGATAACCTAAAATTTTGCTTTATCCACCTCTATCCTGTTAGCTGAAATGTGATGTCCCAACACAATGCCCTCATGTACCATGAAGTGGCATTTTTCCCTGTTCAATACTAAGTTTGTCTACTTGCATCATTGTAATACCAAGCTTAGATGCTCTAAACATTCATCAAAAGAAGATCCAAACAACGAGAATCATCCACAAAGATTTCTATGAATTTCTCCACTATGTCAGAAAAGATGCCATGTAACGCTGAAAGGTAGCAGAAGCATTATACAAATCGAATGATATCCTACAGTAAGCAAATGTACCATATGGGCAAGTAAATGTGGTCTTCTCCTGATCATCCGGTGTTATTGGGATATTCTTATATCGAGAATATATTCGTCAAGGAAGCAGTAATGAAAGTGCCCTGCCAGTCTTTCTAACATCTGATCGATAAATGGAAGGGAAAAGTGATCCTTTCGAGTAGCAGCATTGAGTTTGCAATAATCAATCAAACTCTCCATCCTGTATTAGTTCTGGTAGGAATTAATTTGTTCATTTCATTTTGCACCACTGTAATACCATCCTTCTTCAGCACAACCTTAACTTGGCCGATCCATGCACTGTTTGATATTGGATAGATGATACCTGCATCCAGGACTTTCAATACCTCTGATCGGACTACGCCTTTCATGTTTGTATTTAGCCTCCCTGACTGTCTACACTTGGTCGAAAATTCTCCTCCATGAGGATCTTATGCATACAGAGTGAAGGGCTGATTCCTTTAATATTTGCAATAGACCACCCAATGACTGTCTTATTATCTCTGAGTACCCAAAGTAGCCTTTCCTTATCCACCTTGCTGACTGAATTTGAAATAATAATAGGTAGTGTAGAGGACTCCCCTAAATAAGTATATCGAAAATGAGGTGGTAGTTTTCTTGAGTTCCAATTCAGGAGGTTGTTGAATGGACGGCAGTGGCTTATTAGGACCGGTTCCCAACTCCTCAAAATGGCGTTTACACGTGTATGGTGGATTGGTCAAGTCTCAAAATCAGTTGACCCTTCTGAACATCAATAAGAGCCCTTCCTGAAGTTAAGAATGGTCGACCCAATATGAGTGGAATATCCTTATCTTATTCCATGTCAAGAATGAAAAAATCAGTTTGGAAGATGAATTTTTTCACTTTAATCAATATGTCTTCAATGATCTCTCTTGGATGAGTACGAGATCGATAAGCTAACTAAAGAGTTACCGTAGTTGCTTTAACCTCTCCCAATAAGAGTTTTCCTAAAACAGAAAGTAACAATAAATTAATACTTGCACCTAAATCACATAAAACTTTATCAAAATAAAAATCTCCATTGGTGCAAGGTACAGTAAAACTCCCTGAGTCTTTTAACTTTGGAGGTAAATTTTCTGGATTTTGGGGCTACAATCCCCAGTTAACATCACTGTTTCATGTTCTTCCAATTTGTGTTTGTTGGATAGGATATCTTTTAGGAATTTGGTGCAGCTAGGCATTTAGATGAGTGCATCGGCGAATGGAATGTTGATATGGAGTTTCTTGAAGACCTCACGATTTTTTTTGTACTGTTGATCCAATTTGTGCTTTTTCAACCTCTGTGGAAATGGAATATGATACTCGTAAGGATTTATAAGAGAGGTTGCCTTAACCCCGTGGTATATCTGAACTCTCCTCAGCACAAGCTTCTATTGTCAGTTCAGTCTGTTCCACGTGCTCCTCATCTGAAGAAGGTATTTTTTCTTACTCACAACCGACCTCTTGACATGTATTTCCAGTAATTGCATCCCGCTTCTGGTTGTTATTGCTTTGGCATGTTGCTTGGGGTTAATTTCTGTATTGCTGGGTAATGAACCTGATGCTTTGCCAGTCATAGAGAATGCCATCTGCACGAGAGGTTTGAGGAAAAACTAACCACACAAGGATTAAGATTATGATTAAATCAGTAACACTTAATTAGTTGTGCTTTAGTATGGGTGTGAGTTCAATATTGGCTAATCACATACACTAAGTCGAGTATCAGATAAATAAAAATTTATTTTTGATGTTGTTTGAATCTTTCTAAACTGTTGTTTAAATTTAAACCTGAGGCATATGGTAAGCTGTTTAATGTTGAAATTGTTATTGGAGATTTGTTTAGGTTAGTGATATGGTTTATTTCCTAAGTTTTGTTGTGTTTTGTTTTGTTCGAGGACGAACAAATGTTTTAGTTTGGAATTATTTGATAAGTGCATTTTTGTGCACTTATCATGCCATATTACTAAGCTTTTGTGTCTTTTAGTATTGGATTTTACTTAATTTAGCTTAATTTTATCTTATTTCAGTTTTGGACCCATTTCTAAGCAATTGGAAAAGAAAGAAGGATTAATTAGCCAATTGATGGAAGTTTGGGGACTAATATGCATTTAAGTAAAAGTTGAATAACTTAAATTGAAATAATTTGATGTGGAGGACCAAAATGGAAGAAAGAATGAAGAAAAGGGCTGCAAGGAAGATTCGCGAAATTTTTATAATTGGGTAGTCACCCAGTTATATTGGTTGGGCAGCCGCCCGACTCTAAACTTCATTAGCAGGGGCTGTTTTCTATGCCTAAGTGGCTGCCCCATTTTATACTGGGCGCCCGCCTAGGCTAAATCGGGAAAAAAATTCTGCTTTCCTAATTTTATTCTAACTCTTAAGGAAACAAATCTTGAGACGTCTTTTAAAGACCTAGGGTTGTCCATAACCGAGCACCATGCATTACAACGTATTCTAAAAGATTTTGGTAGCAAAGAAGGAAGTAATAAGCACGAAGACCGATTTCCAAACACGAAGATTCAATTCAAACTTTATTTAGGTGATGCCGATTCTTCAATATTTCTTTTGCTTTCTTCTTCATAACATGTTGGCCAGTTTTTATTGTGTTAGGGGAACGATGAACTATGCAATATGAATTTTTAATCTTTATTTTTACATACGTAACATTGAAAAACACGTTTTTGACACCAAGTTTTAAATACCTTAATAGGCTTAATCACTCGAGTAAAAAAGGCTACGAATAGAAGTATAAGATGTATCACATTTTCTTTTGATTTATACTTGCATCCAGGAGTTTCAATACCTCTGATCGGACTACCTCTTTCATGTTTGGATTTAGCCTCGTTGACCATCTACACTTGGTCGAAAATTCTCCTCCATGAGGATCTTATGCATACACAGTGAATGGCTGATTCCTTTAATATCTGCAATAGACCACCCAATGGCT